GGGGGGGGGGGGGGGGGGATGGGAAGGTCATGGGCTCAAATCCTTTCAGGATATCTCTTGTGTTTTGCCTATGGCCTACTAAGCTTAAAGTTACTTACTATTTTTCTTCATTTATCCAGCCTACCTTTCTTCACTAGCCTGTAATGCCCTTGACAGCTTATCACTCTCCTCCTCCATGCTAGCCACCTTAATTTTTAGTTTCTCTTCCCGCTCGACGCTTCCTATGTAATATTCCATTTTTCTTTCAGCCTCTTTAACACGTTCCTCCAAGGCTTTCATTTCACTGTGAATCAGATAGCTAACTCCACAAAACTGACAGACAGTGTCATCTTTTGGCATCGCCTGAATTTCCTGGGGGAGGGGATGCTCGGGTATAAATCGATCCATTATATCTGAGCTTCACCTGCAAAGTCATGTTCGGTTTGCGCAAAAAAAAAAAAAAAAAAAAAAGGAAACTCGCTGCACTGAACACAAGACAGGAAAGGAAAAGAATTTATATTTCCAAGATATTGCACCTAGAGTGATCAATATATCATTTCTCTTTGAAATGTTAATGCAATTCAAACGGTAGGTTGAGAGAATACACGAACATATCAACAAAAAGACCATTTCTAGTTTGACCAGTAACTCTCAACTGTTGTAGTGCCATAGGAAATGAATGGGGGAAGGGGGGGACCAGCATAGCCTGATCCTCAGACGTCCGAGGTCGTTCGCGGCCACTTCGCTACCCCTCTAAGAGAGAGGGGAAGCGAAGTGGCCACGACCGACCTCGGACGTCTGAGGATCAGGCTTGGACCAGCAGGGAGAATTTGAACACTGACATAAGGAATGTGACTATTGTATCTTGTAACAGTTATTGTAGTCTAAGAGGTGTGTTTTTAGTAAGTAATTTGTAGTGAGAGCTTGAGCTGGCAGCACGAATAGAACGTACCGGTCTGGAAAGCAGTGATAAAGGTTTATTTTATCATGTAAATCACTGAAAAAAAGAGCTCACTGCGTACATTGAATCGCGTGACCGTGCAATACTTTAATTACGTCTTTGACGTCACCGCCGGAGGCTTACATCATTTGCAATGCATGATCACTCTCAATTAAGCAGATTATTCTTGATATCTACACACATAAAAGAATAGAAACAAGTTGCCGTTTAGCGTGTGTCGAGAGATAAACACACGCCGAGATAACCCACTGGGAAACAAATAAGGCGGCGATAAAGGTATGTTGTTCGTAAACGTCAAATGCTTAAGATTTCCTTATGCTACAATTAGCTTGGTGTTGAAAGAATTTGTGAAGTGCATGTCCCATGTATCGTGTATATTGATGTTTGATGCGATCGGATTAGTAACAAAGAGTTTTTCCGCAGCTTGAATCCAGCAATCCATAAATTAGCTTCAGTTACCTTCATCAGAAAACTTCTCTAGATATTTAGGAGCAATTAGCTGAACTAAGAGGTATTCATAGAATCGAAAACGTTCGAGTATGTTGTTTTTAATGCTAGCATCGTTAAGAACGTGATGGACATTGTTTCCGTTGAATTGACACGAAATTATTCAAAAATCGTCAATCCCTACGAAAAAGTCACGAGGAAGTATTAACGGAATACTTTTAGAAAAGGAATACCTCTCAACTGTTTTTTTTTTTCTCTTCATGCGTTTGAATCTCCACTGCAGGGAAGAAGTTGAAAAACTTATGATTTGAATATTCTGAGTGCCTTAGCGACCCTCTTTCATCGTGGAACTGAATACAATATATCATAACATTTCTGACCTAAACAAATTGATGGTGAAACAATATGATGGCAAGTCTTCTATTCAGTGTAGTTAATGATTTTTCCTCTTACTTTTCTTACGTGGCAAATAATAATTGTTATTGAGCAAGTACGTCAAACTGGCCGAGCGGTTGAGACTGTTGAGTGTGTTTTGATCTATCTCTTTCCAGGTCAGTTGTTTCGAAACACTTTCGTCGTTTTTGGAATAACCGAGGTTCACTTTTGTTTTAATGCTCACTTTCTTTGCAGTCACATTGTTTTATCTTCTGTTAGTGGTATTGGTGTCAATCGTTTAAATAATGACTGAAATATTTCCAAGAATTTTCTTTATGCTTTTAAGCTATGTTCAACTTCGTTGTGTTGCGATAATCGGTTCCAACATCCTCTCTCTCGGAAAGATTGATCTTCTTAACGCCAGAACAGTAGTGCAACACGTGACTAATGTCGGAGGTAACAGAGAGTGCTTCCAGTAATCATGCATGAATTTTACTTACTTACTTAGCATACTTACTTTACTATTTTTTTGGATTTGTCCTTACGTTCACTTTTTTCCGAAAAAGCTTTTCACTCACTAACTTAGTCAAGATTTTCTCCTAAACAGGCCCCCCTCCGGACCTCTCTATTTTGACTAAACAACTTGTTACCCACCAATTACCTATTGATTATTACTCATTGATTTCATTGAGGTCGTACATTAGTTATGTCTGCATGGTATATTACGCGGTTGTAGGCAATCAGGATATGTTGTATTGTTTTCATAATTTTGCCCGCTGCTTTTTTCACTGCTTTGTCCTTGAAGTTTCACATTTCGAACATCTCTTTCAGTTGTTATTGTTTGTTTTTTTTTTAGTTGCTTTTGTCTCCTCTGCGAACGAGAACGGAGTCTGGAACGAAATGATGACTCTTTGGGGAAATGGGAAGGATTGCACTTATTTCGAACCCAGCTCCCTCAAATCGTCTACCCTCTGTCCAGTCCTTTCAATGGTTCGACTTTAGCGGTGTCACAGTGTGTGGCATTGTAGTTCTTTCACAAATCCCGGTAGATCCTGAAATAAAACAAACCGTTAAAATAACTTCATTTACTTATACCTCACGTTAACTCTTCGTTAACAGAGAACATTCTTCAGTCCTCCATGACCAAGAAAACTTAGACATTATTATTTTTTTTTTGGATACAGGATTAAATTCGTCTTTGCGCCTTATTTCATCCAGCTCACTCACTTCTAGTATAATAGCGCGTACGTGATAACCGTTGAGCTAGAGCAGCCATTGAAGCCATTAAGATTGTACAACCTTTGTTTCTGAGACCTGTGCTATTGATTTTCTTAGCGTTTCATTGTTTTAAAGAAACCATTGAAAACATAATTAACGATCTAGAAAATGCCGCTTTGAATAGTTTTTGCACGCAGTGTCTTAACGCTTAACATGCATGTCCGAGACCTAAAAAACCAGAAGGCATCAACTACCTAAAGATTTGTACAAGAGGGCTTCATATTGGAAGCGAACACGCTTCACTGTGAAGCTTGCTGCTTTTGAAATTTTAAGCTAATGCAAACACCATTGTTGGTCAGAGCGGAGAGTTAGAAAAATATATGATTAGAAATTCGCTTCTGAACATTCAGTAGTTTATAGTTTCTTGAAATTGCTTCGTAAACCAAGGCCAACTGCTATTGAACTACACCTTGCATGTTCCAGTAGGTTCCGAACAGGTGTTGCCTTAAAACATCAACACGTACGAAGTAAAGAAGTGATTTCGACAGAACAGAAGAAAGAGGCGTCACTTACAAAGGCTACAAAGAAAAAAACGTCTAATTGTTTTTCTTTAAGCTTGTCATTCCCGCTGGGAGAGACTGTTCAACAGTACAAACTGTATGCAAATGTATGAAGCACCGTGGAAAAAAAAAAAACTTTACCGCGGTTAATAATTAATCGGAACTATTTTTATGGTTTGTTAAAATAATTTTTTAAAATTCATGCAACCATTTCCTTCTATGGAAATTTTGCGTTGTCTTAGTTCGTGCTCCGACTGTTTATCGGTTTATCTGTAGCAGCCATAGATACCACGAGTATTGAAATGATGTGTTGTATCACTCGCACGACTTTTAACCCTGACCATTGTTCAACACTGCTCAAGTTTGACACGCTTGTAGATCTTGTGCTTTGTGACGAAAACAAAAGCGTGCACTCAAACTCGAGATTCTTGTAAACGGATTGTCATGTAAATGTTCGTACGAGCCAAGTGTAAAATTCACGCGTTCGGGAGACAGAGTTTGCTAAAGTTCTGCTTCGTAGCTCATTGAGTCATCTTCAAGAGTGAACAATGCAGTCGTGTATTGAGTAAGCTTTTAGAAATCTCTGCAATTTGATTGTGTTTGAGAACTCAGCTGTTCACGACCGTTTCATAGTACAGACACCAACAAAACATTTACACTTAGTAGAATGATTTATTCTAACTTTCAGGAACAGCGAGAAAGTCGACGATCGGCAAGGCTTGATGGCGGCCACCAAAAGAGATGACGAAATATCGGCGGCTGGTGATTCCCAGTGTGTCGTCTCTTACCCCGATGTTACCTCGAGCAAGGAAGCCAGGACCATCGGTCGGCTCAAACTCGCCCTGGAACTTGTCACTCTGGGGTTCCTTACAATGACTGTTCTCTTCATATGGCAAATCACACAGAAAAACTCCGCTGCTACAGATCAGGTTTGTCGCGTAGCGAGTAGCGGTCTAAGACTTGATGCCGCAGACTTTATTAGCTTCTTTAAGTCGTTGTAACATATTTTGAATTCCTCGATATGATTCATTGTAGAACTCTTGTTTACACATTCAGCATATTTTTGTACACAATGCATGGGTGTTCATTCTTCCAAACACAGCCCAAACATGCCTGCACGCAAACCATTGCATTTGTCTCTGTATTTAAAAGACCAAAACTGCTGACATTTTGATTATCAGCGTAGAATTGACCTTTAATTTTCACGCTGGTTACCGCCGCCAATCAAGTGCAAGCTATAATGTTACTGCTTGTCAGTTTACTTAAGAACTGTTTAGGCCCACTATAAGGACGTCCTCTGCGGACACCTCGTTATTACGGGCACATACATTTAATTTTACTCAAGGCGTAAATAAATTAAAGTTAACACAGGCTTTCTCTCTCGCACAACGAACACGTTTTTGTATCGAGTAAACCTTAACAAAGTCAGCTTGAAGCTCCATAATCATCGTCAGAACTGTATCGCTGAACCAAGGCCAACACCTTCCTCATCAAGTACAACCCTTTTTGGACCTGCAATTTGTGAGCTAGAGAAAATCGCTCATATACCCAAAACAATTTCATTTCAGAATCAGTGGTTTTGCGCAGAGAACTGGATTTCCTTCTGGAAATGGGTCAGAAAATGTAAAATGTTTAGCCCAAAAGTAATTAAACCTTTTTTAACCCGCCGCGCGAGTTATTTATGGGAAAAGTTTCCCCGCCATTCAGTACCCCTCTGATTGGTTAAGAATACAGAATGCGTTATCTCCCCTTTTGCAGAACCTTTATAATGTAACATTGGGAAACAATTCGTTGATCTTATTTTGTTATTGTGTACAGTCCGCATGGAAGTGACGAAATCATGTAATAAGAGGTGTTAAGGGAAAACGGATGCTTTACCCATCAGTGCTCTCGTCACTTACATTTATTTCGGAGCGCAAGTTTTTAATAATTTACTGTCAAGCATGAAAGAAACTGAATCTTTGTTAATTTTTAAAACAATGATTAAGGAATTTTTTAGTGAAAGTTCTTAGAATTTTTATATATTGTACATAGTTTTTATGTAAAGCTTTTAGGACTTTTATTGTTATTTTAATTCTATTTGTAGTTGTCCAGGGCACCCCTTGATAAGAGCATTTGCTGACGGGTTTACCTTGGTTAAATATATTTATATTATTATTATTATTATTATTATTATTATTATTATTATTATTATTATTATTATTATTATCATTATCATTATTAGCATTAGCATTAGCATTAGCATTAGCATTTGTATTAATATTATTTCAGTTTTCCCTATTGTTATGATATAGACCGATTTTTGGACGAACTAAATGCGCCATTAATGAAGCTACATTATTAATAAAATAAACAAGATGATTAACACTATTTTGTCTGGTCGACGAGATCAGTCAGTGCTGTCAAGAACGTAACTTATGCCTTCCTCAATGAGAAACGCCCCGGAAATGCTACTTAGCTTGGATCAAAATAGCTGATCTTGTATTTTTTGATAAAAGATCGGCTATTTTGGATCGAGCTTAGCACTATATCTCAGAGCTCTTCTTTGGCGGTCAAGAAAGCGAAGGCCTGTGGTCAAGAATGGTGGAACAGGCTAGAAGGGGGACCGGCCAGTGCCTCAAAGTTTTGATCAATACTCTACTCATGTGTACCTGTAGTCAGCCTTGAGAGGTCGCTGACAGGCCTAACCCATTGTTACATGGGAATCAACAAAAGTAAACATAGCATGGGCAAAAGGGAAGGAGAAGATTTCCTTTACTAATACTGGCTTGTATTTGTTTGTTTGTTTTTTTTTTTGTACCCCGGTTTTCACGTGCGGACGCGTTTCAGTTGCTTATGCTTGCACTTATTCGTATGGTTTAATAAGACCCAACAGTCTTTTACTAAAAATCGTGCTTGTTGATTTTCTTTATCAGAACCCTACAGTTGATCCATTGAAGGATGAGGTGAGTCGAAAGTAAACTGACGCCGTTTTCCATTCCTGTAAACCAAATCTTTCCACTGAAAAGCGTTTATCTTACGGGACAAACATTCCGCCTTCACGTTATGTACTTGGTACTACACCACCTTGGTTGCAAAAGGTATACGTTCGATCAGGAAGTCCTTGTTATCTGTTATCTGAACATTACAGATATCCTACTATATACCTTCGTGTTTACTGACTGGAAGATTACGAAGCGCTGCAGAACTACAGTTTGTTTAACCGTGGAATGCGATTCTTTTACAATTTGTTGAATATATCAAAACATTTACCTGCTCACTCGCGCAGAATGTATCATCTGATTTTAGTCCACTTGGCCCACGTACGATCTCGCATGCTAAACATAAGCGCGCGTGATAATTATGAATTACTACTTTAAGCATCTTTACTAAATATGTGTGGTAATACTAAACAGACGATGTATGACAAATCTATCCTTGGTAAAGGAAAGTTACTGTGTGTCTTGATTGTAAGCTAGGTTTTCTGGAGTGGTATTTAAACGTAAGCCTAAATTCGACGCAAAATATGCTCGGATACTTGTCCTTGGACATTATCTGTTCCGGGAAGCGAACAGTTTTCCGAGAGAAAAACTGTAAGTCTCGCCGGAGGAACAGTTAATGTCCAAGGTCAAGTATCCATGCATATTTTTGCGCCAAATGTAGGCTGTTGTGTTTATTATCTTTCAAATATTTTTCGAAACACGCGGGATCTTTTGAAAATTGGGAAAAATATCACTTGGATATTTCCTAGTTTTAACTGGGACATATTAGGCTGATTTAGCAACAGGACAGGAGCGTCAGATTACGACTGTAGGGCGCGCGGAATAACCTAGATTCTGTTCTAATTTGACCGTATTTGGGTATTTGTACTGCGCGCGCCGTCGTCAAGTGACGTTCCCGTTCTCTTGCTAAATCAGCCTATTCAGTCACGTGATGCGTTTAGACCAATCGCGTGCGTGCGAAAATATTTGATGGCTGAGACGGATCACAAAAGCAGCCACTTCAACGGTCAAGAATTGTGCTGGAACCGGCCGATCATTGCCTTAACATTATCTCCACTCAGTTCTTTTTATATGTTTTTGTATCTTGTTTTTATTTCAGAAATATTTGTCTTTCAAAGCGTCTCCGTGTCCGATTATGATAGAAAAAGCTACACCGCCTCGACTGTTTCCTACTGAAGTGGAGCGGTCTCTTTATCAAGCAGATATCATCTTCAATGCCTACCAGGGTGAACAGGGTCTAGTAAGTGAAACTAACTGAGCTTTGTCGGCTGTATCTGTGTGGTAAAATATACAGTTAGACGATTATTTCTTTCCATCATGTGATTGCAGTGGTTAAAGTACTAGTGGGCTCATATCAGCCAATCACAGTGTACATTCTATCTATTTCAACCAATCATAGGGTTCGATTTCTAGCCGTTGTCGCATCGGGTTATCGGGGAAAGAAGGTGGGCGCGTAAAACGGCTAGAAATCGAGCTTAAACAGTTACTATGAACAAAAACAAAACTAACCATGACTTGGTTCATGCGCGTTCCCGCGCTCGGTCCCAGTTCTATTTTGATTAGTTCATCGCGTTTAATTTTATGTTGAGATTACTTTAGTTTTGTGACAATCACTACAGTATTACAGATTTACGATAAACTACTTTGTATTGTGTCAGTTGTATTTTATTGTAAGCCCTGATTAACACTAGTTGCATCAATGTGCCGGTAAATGCGTTACTTTGCGATAATAGATTTATCATGTGAAACACTTCCCTTTCTCTTCTGGGCCCTCCCCCTTGAGTCCTCCCCCACCCCTCCCATCATCAATACGACTTGGATGTAAAGGATAGTCCGCGGGTGGGGTGGTTCACTAAACCTTTTTTACAATAATGTAACTACGCTTATGTTTAATATCTACAGGTGGGAATGACCGGTAACGTAGTTTATCAAGATCAAGTAGTGTGGAGAAAGAATTACGGTCTCAAAGACAAAAATAACAGGAGAGACCCCCCTAATCAGGACACCGTATTTCGAGTTGCAAGCATTACTAAAATATTTACGGTAAGCATCATTAGTTTTGAACTTCTGAACGTGGCATTTTCAACCATTTTATCTTAAATTTCTTGATGAGGACCTGTGAAGCACGCATTGACATCTCCAGCTCTTCGCGCAATGCATCAGTGATACAGCTAAGTAGGCCGTCTCCTATACTGAACGTATATGATGAGCATTTTTCTCACCATAGCTAGCTTTCTGCTTCTTCAAGTTATTTGGGCGTAGAGTAAAGGCGTTCAGAAGCATTGTTTTAAAGAATTCATTATTTTTTTTTTCTTATAAATACACCTTAAGGGGGCTTAAAACAGTTTCCAGCTCTTTCCAACATTTAGCATTTGGTGGGTCATTATAAAAATTCTTTATCAGTTGATTCTACAATCATTCTATCAACAAACTGCCCAATCATTTTAAACACATTGTTGTCATTTTCGTGTCCCAATAGATTACCATAGCAACAGTATGACCTGCTTAATTTTAGCTAGCTTTAATTACGTATATTTCAAAAACGGATCGGTGAAACCCATTTTCTATTAAGCGGGATAAGACGCAACTATTGACAAAGTTTTAAAAAAAATTCTGTGCGGGATTCAGAACCACCTTACGTTTTCGAAAATATTCGATGATTTTATGGAATACCTCTCGAAGCAATGCATAGCCAGAATATGTATAGCCTGGCAATTATGCAAAAGCGTATTGAATATTTGTTGGAATTTCTTTTTGTTATAGTTAATTTTATGCACTAACAGCTATATGAATGATTGCTTTGCACAGAGTATATTTGTGTTTAAACTTCTGGAAACTGGCAGCATAGACTGTCTTGATGATCCTTTGGAGCAATACGAGCCAAGATTTCAAGTCAGAAATCCTTTCAATCAACAAAAAATAACTATCAGGTGAGAAATGTTGTCTAGCACAGTGATAGCAGTTTTAAGAGGCAGCCGTTAGAAAACCTCTTTCTTTTGACAATGCAGCATCATTCCAACTGAAGTAAAGAAAGAAGCGTAATCGATTATCCAAGCCATGCAATAAAAAAAAGAACAATTACAAAGGAGCAATTACAAAATGAACAAACAAATAAGCGATCGAAGGAAAAGAGGAAAAAACAAACAAACAAACAAACAAATTTTAACTCTCGAAAGACAAACAAGAGACCAAGCAGTTATAAGCTGAAGGAGGAATACTCCAGAGGGCGTGGTTTGGGGGAATCTCAAGAAGAAGGAAGATCAAGAGGAGTTAGTGGGAGATGGAACTGACATACAAACTTTCCTCATATATCTGCACCCACCAAGCCGTTTTTGAGATGAAAGCTGACATTTTGTTTTGTTTGCCTGTGGCTTGCTTTTGTTCCTGGTGCGGTATTCCTGTTGTAGGGCTGGTCGTAGATCACCTGTTGAACAGCATCCATCAGTAACTGTATCGCTCTAAGTGGGTGCCCTGCACATAGTTTTCCTCAAAGTATTAAATTGATCACACTATTTACACGTACAGGACAATAAGATATATTGACAAAGCGTCCTGCATCCCATCTTTCGCATTGTTTCATCAGTGTGTGTCTAATCGTCCGTGAAGATTTTATATCTACGATATTTGATTTGTACACGAAACGTCATTCTTAGAATTTGTGTCTCTCTCTACCCATCCACAGGCAGATCTTGTCTCATACCTCAGGCCTCCCCCGTGAGGTGCCATGCGGTGATTCGTACTCATACAGTAAAATTCACTTGTGTCCTGTTAACACTACGTACGTCCTTCAACAACTCAGGAACACAGAACTGAAATCTCCTCCTGGCAGACTGCCACACTACAGGTGACACCTGATGCTTAGCTGTTAATGATCTTAACTTCTGCTCATTCCAAACTCTTACTTCTAATTGGCTAAAAAATGAGGCTTGTGAAAAGCCTTAAAAAAAGATGCAAATAGTGTCGTCACGAATCCCGGACGGCAGTCGAATCCATGATCTTTCAAACACTGGTGGAATGCTCTACCCCTGAGCCACGTGTTCGTTTTGTTTTTCAGCACGCGGGGTATTATGAAACATAAAGAAACTAAAGGAGCCAAACCCATTCGTTGCTTGGGAAAAAGCAGTAGATTAACTCAGTCAGTCTAGTCCTTGTAACACCCCAAGGGAATACGAAAGTTATACGTTGTGACCGGGATATCACTGAGGTAGTTCCAAATTTAATAATGTTTCTTTCTTTTGTTTTGTAGCAACTNACCTGATGCTTAGCTGTTAATGATCTTAACCCCTGCTCATACCAAACTCTTACTTCTAATTGGCTAAAAAATGAGGCTTATGAAAAGCCGTAAAAAAGATGTAAATAGTGTCGTCACGAATCCCGACGGTAGTCGAATCCATGATCTTTCAAACACCGGTGGAATGCTTTACCACTGAGCCACGTGTTTGTTTTGTTTTTTAGCACGCGGGGTATTATGTAACATAAAGAAACTAAAGGAGCCAAACCCATTCGTTGCTTGGGAAAAAGCAGTAGATTAACTCAGTCAGTCTAGTCCTTGTAACACCCCAAGGAAATACGAAAGTTATACGTTGTGACCGGCATATCACTGAGGTAGTTCCAAATTTAATAATGTTTCTTTCTTTTGTTTTGTAGCAACTTAGGCTATGCCCTGATTTCTCGGGTATTAGCAGAGAAATTTGCAAACAACGACTTCGAGGGATGGGTGCAGAGAAATATCTTTGATCAACTAGGAATGACGAACACAGGATTCGATCTTGGAAGGTACTTGTATGATAAAGTTCTTTTTTCCTTTGCGAGGGAAGGGGCGGGGGTTATGGGTGGGGTGAAGAGATGTTGCACGTGGTCTTTTTTTCGGACTGATTATATACAAGCAACGGTAAAGTGGAGATGTACGATACCCAGGATCACTTGCGGTGTCCTTGAGCCTCCACTGCAAACCCTGTTTCTTAATTACACAGCTGATCTTATAGTAAAATTTGGGTTTCTTGAAAAGGCTCTCTTATGTCTACTTGAAATAATAATTTCTGTCATGTACGTCTTTCAGAATGTCCTCTAACAAAGCTGTGGGCTACGATTTCGATGGCGAAGCTCCCTTGGTAGACTGGGACTGGGCAGCGCCGGCCATACAGGCATACTCCACAGCAAACGATCTGTATAAGGTTGGGAAATCATATTGCAGTTTTTTAACTTTTCATGCAAATGTCTGAACTCCAGGAAAAGTGTTCTCTCTTTGGCTTGGGATACCTCGTTCTAAAATCGTTGCTCTACGTTGATGGATGCCATGATGTAATTTGTAGCTGTGATCTAAGTTATGGCTTGAAGTCGGACTACGAGTAGTCCCTTTGTCGCTTAGTTCATTTTGCGTGACCATAAATTTTCTCGCAGTTTTCTTTCGTGTCACGCACGACGGACTTAGCGAAAGAGGGACTACTCGTAGTCTAGCGTGAAGAGCAATGCTTGTGGTGATACGTGTGATGTGTAAGAGGGATTTTTCCTTTCTGCATATAGCTGATGACCATGTTACTGGGAACTTCAAGAACAACAGTACTACAAAGAGAACTTCTTCAGCAGTTGATGAAACCAGGTGAGTGTCTGCGTGTTAAGCCGAATTTTGCCAATGATCACTGAACATGTAGGACTTTATGAATGGCACATTGGGCTCATGGCTAGTGTGATGGACTGCTGGTAGAAAGTTTCGGGATCGATCCCTGGTTGGGGCCATATTGTTGTGTATTTGCGTGAGATATGTTACTCTCAAAGTACCTCTTTCCACCCAAAAGTATAATTGAATATCGGCAAAGTGTAAAGGCAGAGCTTCCATCCCATCCAGGGGATCCAAATAACAAGAAGATTTTTTGTCATGCGTTTCTGTTTACGGCCTGAAGAAAGAGAAGCTAAGACAAATCTGCGCTAGGACTTAGAACAAACTAACTATTTTTTTTCCTTTACCTCGCCTGGTAGATTTCATGTATCCAGATGGTAAAACAGTGTTTGGGACTGGATGGGAGATTACAGATGTTGGAACATACTCTGTGGTATCGAAATCTGGATTCGTTCCTGGTTATTCTGCTGGGTTTGCCTTTGTACCAGAGTTCAAGCTAGGTTTGTTCTTCTGTTTTCTTATTTTGTTTCTCGCATTTGCTTTCCTGACGAGAAGGAAGAGGGGAGGGAATGTGGATTGTCGAAGGGGGAGGGAGCGAGTGGGAGGAGAAACTAAACTGTCCCCAGTAAGCTTGAGGTCGAACTGTGCGGCTGTTAATAGAGCTGGGCACTGCCGAACTGAAGTTGGTTACAATAATTACTTTAAAAACCATTCCACAGGTGCTGTTGTCCTTGCCAGCGGTCGTGAGATTGCCTGGAGGGTAGTACAATCAATCGTTGAGACATTGGCTAAAACGATGGATGCAGTGTTGTTTAGCCAGCAACTCCAGGTAACAATTGTGGATTATGAATAAGTATTGACAAGATCGATAATCAAAATGATTTGCCTCGTATTATCTTAGGTCGAATGACGGAGAAATAGTTGATGTGTTAGAACAATTTTTCTTGTTCTTCCAAACTAGCACTCGTGTTTATTGTATGCCTTTAGATTGTTGTGCGCGCGAGTACCGCTAAGATTGCGAGATTTACCACTTACAACTTGCGAACCCAGTCAGTTTGGTGGGAGAACCTCTGCCTGTAGTCAGTTTTCCCCGATTTTTCCGATCGTAAAACACAAATCTATCCTCAAGGAGCTCAGCCATGCTTATTGTGTTGTTCACGAATAGTAAAAGACAGCCTTTTAGAGGGATGTCTTCTTTTAGCACATAACATGGCGCTAACAAGTTGCGGTGAAATCTCGTAGTGTTGTTTCTTGGTCGCACTTCACTCAGACATAAGGCCCTCTAGTTCTTATATCTTCGTATCCTCAATGTTATTTTTTGCATATTTCTATAGATTGAACTTCTCCCCAATAATGAACAGTACCTTGGTGAATACGTAATTGTGTCCCAGTGGATTCCGGAAGTAATTGTTAACATTACCCAAGAAGACGGACTACTTCTGTTTACTCAACTCCCCGGCTCTCTCGGTTTTTCGTATCTAAAGCCCATTGCAGAGCACTCGTTTGAAGTCATTTACAGAGCTGGATTGGCATGTAGCGTTTATGGCCTAGGTCAGAATCGAGAACGAGTCTTCTTCGATCCACCGTCCTCAAATGGAAAGAGTCCAGGCCTCAAGTTCGGTCCTTTCATATTCAAAAGAACGTTGCCTACGGCTAAGAGCGATTTAAAGCCAAGAACTTCCAATTTGAACTTATCGCCTTCAGGCCTACTCTGACGTAATAATGGTATAGTTAATGTTATATATAGGATTTGGATATATTTATCTGGCTACGAAATGTTTGATATAAAAACCAGAACAGTCAACAATCACATACAATTACGTACATATCCAGATGAAAGGGTTGCTGGTCAGTTATAAATCAATTTTAAGCTATGTAAAAACATTGCCTACTTCAGGGATGAAACCCAGAGATTCTAATTCTTGAAATGATTTTATATTCTCAAATGTCGCTTAGTCACGCTACAGGTCGATCATACAAGGTCACGCAAAAGACCAGTCACGCTAATTCACACGATGGATCTTGTTCTCTTCAACAGACCAACAACAACAACAAAAGTAACAACAACAACAGCAGCAGCAGCAGCAACTCTATTTGGTATCTCTGTTTGGTTCAACTGGAGTTACGGGACCACATTTCATGTAAATTAATGGCTTAGCATAAACTGATATGGTTACGTTACGGTCTCAGAGATTCGTTCCAGAAACGTTTCTTATACGCATTGTTTTTGTACATATTTTGAATGGAATTTGGGCCGGGCCCCACAGAATCAAAGAGCCTAATTTAAATTTAAAATTATTTAAAAGGTTTTTACACACACATATTTAGAAAAAAAAAAAGAATATTGAAATATCAAAAGTAAAAGTAAAATTTTAAAAGCTCGAGTGTGCCTTTTATCATTGTTTCTTTTTGCAGACAAAGACCGGAAAAGCGCCAGTGGATGTACTTTTTTATGCATACTAAAACTTTCCTTCCTTCCTATTAAAGGGAACATTGAGAAAAAAAAAGGGAACAATGGGATTTATCAATAGAGAATAGGGAAAAAAAAATGGGATTTTCAAAGGGTCAAAGGAACATGCTACCAACTCTTTCCCCCTTCCCCCGGGTGGCCCCCCAAACTAGTAACTAGAGACGTCTGTAGTTTAGACATGATCCTTGCATACGCCCCAGGCTTCTAACATTTGAATTAGCCAATCAGGATTCAGCAGGCGTGAGAGACTGATCTGTCCTGACGTCACATGTATGTTAACAGGAAAGGGATTGAAGTCGGGCCACTTTTCTCACTGAAGACTGTATTGAATATTCACGAAAAACTCCGGCAAGGGTTTAAAAAACAAGAAACAATAATAGCTTGTAACAAATGAAAAAAAAATGAAACATTTTGTTCCTCTAAGCATTAACATGACGCCAAAACTGGTCTCGCCCGTCGCCAGGTATATAGGTTAATAGCTGTGTTATTCTTAACAAAATATCTTGTTCGTCGTTACATTAAACCGGGAATTCTCGAGATAAATGGGAGAAGAGATCAATACAACTTACCATTGTCTTTATTTTTGTTAGTTTCAAACACAATGTATTTTATCATGTCATTTCGTTCGAAAGGACAATACAGTTTTGACAGTCGCTCGCACTGCGGGCGCATGCGCCGTACGCAAGGATACTCACGCGCATTTGGAACTTAAGAATCATAATTGACACCACACAGTACAACAGACCAGTACAATGAATCAAATATTTAATATGTCATAGTTTCGGAATAGTTATATAGATATACACTACTTGCAACTAAATCCGTGGTACTAAATGCTTAAGATACTCATCCTTACTGGCCGACATACACCAATCGTAAAACTTGGCTTCTTGCCTTGTGACAAGTCGTTCACGGGCGTCGTCAGATTTCACATTCGCTTTAGCTTATAGTTTAGTTTATCAGCGTTCGATGTAACTTTTAAGAGCCAGAAAAGCTATTTGATGTAGTTCGTGTTTGAAAAAGTGGAGCAAGTTCAATCGTAGAAAAATCCCTGAGCAGCCATACGATCCACCACAGGTCGGTCAGGATTGTCGCGGTCTATCAATGGGCCTCCCTTCCTTGCTTCGATCATGTCTAAGGACGGCTGATCGCACGTCGAGTTCGAGGGATTACTGCAGTGACTTGAAGTCCCACTTGCACCTTTGCCTGAATGTGACCCATCTTTACTGTCTTTTGAGTCTGGCTTGGTTTCTTGGTCAGGTCGAGTCTTGAAGAATGTGTCATCCATGCTAAAATGTGGGATCAATCGCCGACACTGAAAGAGATGGTGCAATGGTGTTTCCTCGTGCCGGTTGTAGCTTAGTTTTGAGTTTAAGAAAGAAACTCTTAGGCATTTATGTGATTTAAAATGAAATATGACGTAATATGTATTAGAGCCTTGCTATGTTTGGTGCGTTTCGAATTCTAATAGATGATTCTCATGTATTTAGGATGCACTGATATTTTTCAGTTTTACACATTATTTTACTTTCAAAATTATAACCATTTCTGGAAGTGTTCGTTGTCAAAAAAATCATACGCAACAGAAGGCCATCATTTACTTTTTAAGGGTATGCGTATAATGGTAACGACAAACGATGAGTGGCCGCTAGCAGGGAGCTTAAGCAAACCACGACGACGATGCCAACGAGATCGTCATCAAACCAAAGATTTCATGAGCAAAACAATAGCTGTTCACGTGCGTTATAAATCTTTGTCTAGTTTACTGTCCTCTGCAAAACAACGACGTGAAATGATCAAGTCCTGTGTGTTTGGAGAACGTTAACCGCGACGCCTAATTTTGCGCATTTTCGTCTGTAACTAAACGCTATCGTAATATATTTAGCCTGAGCAAGTTTTTCGACCGATAGGCGTACTGAACAGATCTAGACATTTGCGACATTCAAAGGTAAAATATAAGTCCACTTTCTACTAGGCCTTGTACCCGGCGTCGCCGTCGTTATAGGAAAGATATCTTTTTACAAACGTACATTATTTTTGTTATTTAAATGCACAAAGAGTTAAACAATAGAACTCTTTGTTTCAGCAGCCAATAATTCTCTGGTTTGCCATTTGATAACAATAGTTGACGTCACTAATATCTTTGCCATTGGTTAAGCTCCACTGAGGAGAATCTTTCACCAAATAAACAGAAGACTTCTCCACGAAAACTGATAAACTAACATAAACTGATATCAACAGAGTCAAGTAATTTTACAGAAATTATCACCTCTCTACCCATGCAGAGGAGTTTGTTTTGTTTGGCCTCATGATACTTTCGTTTGAAATGTGACTATCTTGGGTAACCTTTGTAACTTACATTCCCCTGCCACGAAAGTTTTGCAAACGTGTTTTCAATATATATTCTCGGAACAAGATTCTTTTAAGTCCTGTTTTTGTTTCCATTTCGGAGAAACAACGACAATTCCAAGTATTGACTTCCGGGTATTCGTGGAATTTTGCTGTCTTTGTCATGATGAGTCGTGTTTTTCTGGTATGGAAATTGCATATAATATATTTTCGGAAAATGACTGGTGAAATCATCTGACTATCATTTCCTTCTGTAAGACAGTATCTTTAAAGAAATGAAAATGTTATCACTATCGACAGACCGAATTTTTCCTTAGCTAAGTCAGATTTCGTTGTTTGTTAATCTTTTCAAGGCAAAATATCTAAAAGCTTTTCTTGGAGGTAACCTGTGTTATCCAAAACTGTTTTAATTGAGTAACACATTCTTAGAATATGGTAATTTCTTGATGACCCAAAGAATATTTTCAGAGCGCTTCTGATATTTTTTGATAACCTTATGATAGAAAATAATTATTAAAGATTGGTGGAAGACATATTATATACTGCAACGACAATTGTGAACAATTTGCTTTTATTTCTACAAATGCATGTAACACAGTGTAAATGTCGAATAGATATAGCTGGATATCCTTGAACAGCCCACACAAAATAACAGATCTGATTTCTCATTGCTTTCTGCTGCGTTAAATTTGAGAATTACCGACATCCCGTCCGAATTAATAGCGATCATTCAGTACAACTGAAGAACAGAAAAAGGAAAAAAGCAGACTGAAACTATAAACATGCAAGGACAGCAATATTTCCTTACAATTTATACATAGTGAATGCAAATCCAAAATTTTGTCTATTTCTAATCTAAACAGCAAGCGATTGCGCAGAGGAATATATCATAGGCATTTCAAGACGTCTTAAGAATCGGTTACTTCAGTTCCGCCGTCGTTTGATTAGACACATCTCAGTCAATACATGAAGAATCCTTGAGCAGCCATGGCGTCCACCACAGGACGATCAGCAACAGGCTCGCGAACATCGTGAACAAACGCAGGGACTTGCCGAGCGGGCTCGCGAACAGACAGTGGGACATGGCGAACAGAAACGACCTCCTGCTTTACTTCAGGGTTGCTGCTCACGACTAACTTTCCCGTATCCACATCAAATTGCAGCCGCTCCTGCGTCGACTCTTCTCGAGGTCGATTAGTGTAGTTGTACGGCTGTCGACTTGCACCTTCTTCAACTTGATCAGGCCGCTGCGAACCGCCGAAACCTGAGTCAAACAATCTTCTGGTTGGGGCCTTCCTCTTGTCATCCATATTGAACGTCCAGCACGATGTGACTGTAGAGGCGAACACTGAGTTGTATATGTGGATTTGATTCAACTTTAAGAACACGAACACAATTAAAGCGAAAGCGGAAATCAAGAGGCATGCGCGGACTCTTGAACAGAAACGCCGGCATGACTTCAGGGTCAACCATAAAAACATAACTACACTTTCACTAGGTTCATATTCCTGCCGGAAGCTCTCCGTTTAAACAGGGTAAATGAAAACCTTAATTTACTGCTATCCTACAGACCCCTTTGTTGTGGACCAAAAGACAAATTTTATTTTCTTCAATCAGGAAATGCTCAGAGTAATGGGCAAATTAATGCGCAAAATTTTCTGTAGTCCAAACTTATTTGCATAAAATGACACCGTTTTCTCAGAAAAGCCAATTAATGCTGGCTTGCTGACAGAATAAATTCCTTGCATCGAATAACATTTTTAGTGGAGAAAATTTTCAAACGATTTAATATAATTCTTTCTCATTCTGACTTGTTTCACTGTTCTTTGATTCTAACTCAGTTTACATTCATTGGAAAACTTCACTTTCCAACTTTCAACTTTATTACTTCCGTCCATCGTCTACTGCATTGTTTAAGCATTAATTTAAAATGATTCTTGCAATATATGTGATGATAAGGGAGTCTATAGAAACGCAAAAGAGATGTTTGAATTAAACCAGCATGTTATTCCATATTTTGCGATGAGCTGGTCCGACATATAGATCTCTTTCTGTGCAATATAGTTTTAGAAATGTCNACAGGTATGTACTTATGCGATATGTAAGTTTGTCAAAGGCAGAAGTCGAGGCAAGTTATTGAACACGAGAGACCGTGTTTCACCGTACTGAGAAGAGAGTTATGAGTTATACGGGACGCGCAGCCGAGTTTGTTGGACGAAGTTGTTTCAGAATGTCAAACATTCCCTCAAGTGTTTGATATAATTATCTACTCGATGAAGGCTAAAACTAAGAACTGAAGAAAAACGGAGAAATCTAATCCTAAATAATCTAAGCCAGAAAAGATCAGATATGGTTATGACTTCCTTTTTTAAAACTTAATGAATTAATGAGTCTGAGAAAGTTTCTTCAGGTCTGTTCCAAACATTTTTCCTATCTTGAGTGCAAAAAGAAAAATTGTCACCAGTCAGGCATGGCGGTGTTTTAGTGGCTTTTGATTCAGTCGTTTCCATGAGAATTTCTCTTTCATTAATGGTGATCTTGGAACTTTTTATGAAAATTTGAAGCCACTGAGGTCAAATCATGGAGTCGTAAAATGTACCTACAGTTGAATGGTCTTTGCCTTACAACAACAACAACAACAACAACAATAACGACAAGAAACATTAGTTTTGGACTTACATGGGCACTGATGATCTGAAAGGTTCCTCAGACTCGTTAAAGTTATGACAATACTCTCTTCAGTTTCCACAGCAACAGTCACAAGTTTCCCAGCAGCCTTTGATAAATCCTGCAGGAAATCCACTGATGACAAGTGCGACACAGGGCTTAGGACAAACCCCAGAGGGATTGGTGACTAATGCCCAGAGCTCCGTGCCTCCCAATATGGGCTTAAATCTATCTGGTGTCAACACTGGGAGCCACAATATGCCTGTTTTACCTATGGATCAAACAGACAATGCAGCCGCTGTAAGTACCAGCTTAATGTGAACTATGTGTGAACTGTACACTCTTGTCCTCAGCGTGGCCGAGTGGTTAGGGCGCTGGACTTGCAATCTTGAGGTCCTTTTCTGACAACTAACTATGTTGTTCTCGGCGGTCACGGGTTCAACTCCTCAGCTGCGCTTGCAATTAGGATTTTTTACCTTGTTACGTCTAGTTTGAATTATTTGTCTGTGACATTGAATTGCGTCTTTGTGCTGTAAACATTCACCGAGGGTAAACTAAGGCTACCTAGTCGTTTTTTTAAACTTAAAGTGTGAAGATTTTCGATTTTCTCAAAGAAACAGTAAAGAAAACATGTTTACGTAGTAGTGGCATGGTAATGTATGTAGAACAAAAACAATAGTCCATGAATCATCTGTAAAACCTACTGGAGAAGTTTAATCGTCTTGACAAGTCGTGACAGGTCTTGGAAAGTTTCTTCTCAAAATGCCTCTCGAAAATGAATTAGATCAAGCTCTTATTAGAGCTTATTATAATTGACTGGCTTTTCGTCTTATTGCTTTTTTAGCTACAATATCAAGCGTATCAAGAGTTACAGCTGAAGCAACAGAAACTATTACAGCAACAACAACTACAACAGCAGACACAGCAGCTGACGCCCCAACAACAACAACAGTTAATAGTACGGACAAGACAGTATCAGCAGGTGAGTGACTACAACTCAACATACTCCAAAACTGTTTACCTGCATGTGCATGTGGTGCTTGGGGTGTGTTTGGGTGTTGGGTGGGGGAGGGGGGGGTGTCACCCTTAGCCTGAGCTTTGTGGAATTCCCGACAGGAGTAATGGGCGCTTGTACTACGTACCATCTACACCACATGTTGGACAGGAAGCGATGTAATTGTGAATTTATAGGTAAGCATCAAAGGTGATGACACTTGGCTAGGTTTTAAAGAGAAACACCGGAGGGAAGAAACGTTTTTGAGGTGTCTAAACAATTGAGTTGAGCCCTTTTTCACTTGACTATTGATAGCTTCAACAGCAGCAGCAGCAGCAGCAGCAGCAGCAACAGCAGCAACAGCAGCAGCAACAACAACAACAACAACAACAGCAGCAGCAGCAGCCACAACAACAAGCCTTCCAGACCGCACAGGATACCCAGGGAATACAGTCGCAGCTTCGTCACCTACTTCAGTCACAGGCAAACCAGGCTTCAGCCCAGTCACAGGGGTTGGCGGGTACACAGCAGCCAGGAATCACACAACAGCAGTGGCAGCTACTGCAGCTGCAGCAGCAGCAACGATCTCAGGCGGCTGTTCAGATGCCACTTGGCCAGGTAATAGGTCCAACTGTTAGAGAGCAAAATAACGCTTGTTAAGGATTACAGGTTAGCCAAGAACGTGCAAAAGACTGTGTACCAGGAGTTGATCTAAACAACTGAGTTATGTTCCATTATATCCTCGGCATTTAAGATATCACCTATCTTACGACTAAGTACCTGAAAAGTCCGATAACTAAATCAGCCAAGCAAAATTCGTAAGTGTTGGACCGGTTAAGATATTTCAGTACTATTCTGTTTCCATCAAAGCGTTACGTAATAAGAGTAATGATAGTCACGTTCGGCTTATCCTCTTGATCAAGGCCTAATGCCGAAATTGTCTCAGAAAGATCCTCACTCTTGGGTCATTCCACAAGTAACAAGTTTTTTTGGAATTGGACAAGTTTACTCGCTTGGTCTTGTTATGGTGATCATTGTTCGTTTGGTTGAACTTTTTCAAATTTGTGTATTCTGTCCAGTGAATGTGTAGCGTTGCATTGTCGACCAAATCGGTATTATATTAACAAAATATTCAAAATGGAATAGAAACATTTGGGGTAGTATTCCTAAAATCATTACAGGTGCAGATGACGCAAGCACAGATGGCTCAGCCCCAGACCCCCATGTCTCAAGGTCAGGTATCGCAGGCTCAGATGCAAGTTCAGCAGCAGCAGCAGCAGTTGTCGCAGTCGCAGTCCAGTTTCCTGCCTGACAACATGAGCCTACTTGACATACTGCAGTAGTAAATTGGAACTTGTAACCTCTTATTTTTGGTGTCTTAAAAGGCTATTTAATACCTGATGTATTGTAATCTTGTGCCTTGTTTCATCTAGACTATAATAGGAAACTTTGCTTCATTTATTCTTAGCACAGAAGAAAAAATGTTCATTTTCCGTTCTCTCGTAATTAATTTTTTGGCTGAACTAAAAAGAACTAACTTGTTAATTATTTTCTACTTTCAAACGACGAGGGTGGTAAATTCACCAGCCGTTTGCATGAAATGTCCACGATTAAGTCGAAACGAAAAATGTTGTATATGGTATACGCTAAATAGGACAACAAACATAAAAATATGGTCTAGTCTTGGCAAATTAAATTATTGTTGTAAATGGTGGTAAACTTTGGAGTGTATAAGATACTTTGTAAGGTTTTTCGTTATAGATCCAAGATCAAATGTATACTTGTAGATATTGCCATCGCCATCTTGATCACTGAAAACTTAAAGAAATCAAGTTAAACTTGCTATACATCGTTAGAGTGGTTTTCCAATGACGTAATAGTAATGTTCTGGTTTATCAAGCGGATGTATTGGCTGAAAAGTAATCCAGGAACAAAGATTCGTTTTGTAAAGTCTTCGGAAATGGCCTTGTAAAAGATACATGTCAAATGAAAACTCGGCAATAACAGAGTTTAAGAATGATGTTTACGACAAACGGAGAGATGTGCCTCTGATTTTTTGTTTGTTTGTTTTTTTGTTTTTCACTAATCCTTAAACCAATCCAACACAAATACAAAAAAGACGCCTATTCACAACAAATACAAATATTCCTAGTTTAGTGTACAAACGGCTAAATCAGGAACGGCAAAAAGTACATTTTTGTCGTAAACGTCATTGTTCACCTCTCTAATATCAGTTCATTCAAGCCATAGTATGGTTTGATGGATTGATTACTGTTTGGCTGTTTAAATGTAAAGTTTGCAACGCGTAATAAAGTTCAACCGTATTAAGCCACCTCTGGCGTTTTCTGTGACCATGGATAGTGTCAGCAAGTCCCTTCTACTATTCATGCTGTGACCTCAGCATATTGCATTTACACTCCCCAGTATCCAGTTTGAGCGTTAGCTCTGGATCGCACGAGGCGAATCGTAATTTCATGGCAAGTTAGATATCAAGGGTACGAATGTTTCTTAAATATTTTCCTAATTTTCTAATTTCTAGCTTGTCTAACACGTCTGCATTGTTATTGTACCCTCGCTGACGCTGGTGCAAGTCAGGGACTTTGTTTGAAAGCAAAGAGTTTAAAGATCGAGATGAAGAAAGTATGGATTAAAAACAGAAAGCATTATTATTCAAGATGATCCTGATTCTGGCTCAGCTTTAGCCTTTTTTGAACTAGTTCTCTCTTCTGTTCGAACTATAGCGATTAATTACATATTTTTTTGTCTTTATCTGATGGTTTTCAGGAAAATATTAAACGCTTAATCGCTGGTCCCGAGGGAAACAGCGTTGTTTTCCCGAAAATCTCGATGTTTCCCGGGACAAAGTTGAGGAAAACATCGACTAATTGCGCCCGAGGGAGCAGTGATTAACTGAAGTGTTTTGTTATATAGCTAAAGTTTACTTTAAAGTAACGAGAAGTCAAAGTAACTTCTGGTTAATGGAAGAGCGGGCAACAAATGCCACGTGACCACAAATCAACTAATGAGAGCGCGCGTTAGATTCAACTGAACTTCAGACCCCAGTTGTTCGAAAGGCGGATAACGCTATCCACTGAATAAATCACTATCCAGTGGATCGCGTGGTTTGTTTTGTTAACACTTATCCACTGGATAGAGATTTATCCGATGGATAGCGTTATCCACCTTTCGAACAACTGGGGCCAGCTATATAACAGGAGCGGATATTTCACGGGTGTTGTGATATTTTTACAGCCCTATGGTAGCAAAAATAGCTAATATCGAGTGAATGTCCGCGAGTACTACCTGTATTTAGCTGGCCCTCTTGACCCCATTATGGTCAAAGACGTAATAATGAAATTATATATTCTCCGGCTCCTTACGAAACGAACGTCCGGGAACTGTTCAATGGATAATATACGGTGGCTTCACACGTCAGTTTGTAAAACGCAGAACTCATCACTTTATTGGTGGCTTTGTTCCTAATTCCAGGCGTTTTGTGAGCCCGCGTTAATTCCTTGAAAGAAAATGAGAAGCGGACCCCCAAAACAGCTGGAAACCGGACCATATTCGTATTCTCGGTACTGGACTGGAACTAACTTGCAATAGAGGCTCATGCAGGGGGAAATCGTTAAAATTAGATTTATGTCATTTGCATTTGAAGACTCAGTTGCAAAAGCTAGTTTCCAGTCCAATACCGAGAATACGAATATGGTCTTTTGAGCGAAATTGAGCCTATTTGACGAATTTCATAGCCTGCAGAACTGAGGTCTATGTTAAGGACAGTTCACTGGGTCCATTGCAATCCAACTTCCCCGGGATACCCTGGGCGTCGATATTTTATTGGAGGCCCCGTCACGTGAGGTGCGCCAGTGGAGCACCATGGGTAGAAATTTCTGGTTAGCTCACCAAGCCGGGAAAATTTGGTTATGACGAAGACGTACACTGCTAGAATTTATTCTGTTACGGTTAGAAACCATGCAAGGTAAACAGACCATTTTATGCTTTAAAAGCGAGCAGGATTTGCTTAAGATTGACGGCCGTACGTGGTGATTTGCATATTGTGTTTAAAAGTATGGAGATTTCCTGGTTTTGTTTGTTTAATTTATTCGGTTTGGTGAAATTCTTATTGGTGAATTTCTTTAAAGGTTATGGGTAAAAGACTGGTAAAGCTACGGGCGATAAAATGACTGGAAAGCCGTGGACAAAAATAATATTCAAATTACGCTTTAGTGTGAATAATTATTAAACTTGAACACCAAACGTCTCTGAAATTTTGGACATTTTCCGGCTTCTAAAACAAATTTTAACATATTTTTCATTCGGTCATCCTTCGTCGAGACGGGATTTGCTTTTTGATACTCAAATGTAGTGATATGCATATAGTGTATATGTAGATTCCTCGGTTTTTCTTGTTTATCTCTTTTTGTTTTGCTTTTGTTTTCTTTTTCTTTGTTGTTGTTGTTCAATTCAGCCGGTTTATTAAAATTTCTTTAAATGTTATTGTGTCGTGCAGATGATTAGTATTTTATGGAAACTCCACTTTTGGGCTTGGCTTAAGCTACCTTATTACGTGAAATTTTCGCGACACGTTAATTTCGCGAATTTCGCGATTTAAAAAG